TTCCGTGACAAGAATGCTGTCGCCGAACTGCTTCAATCAAGGACGAGAATGCTATCATCTTGGCTTGCCGCCAGCTTGCAGTACTAGCAACTACGTGCTTAGTGACTGAGATCGCCTTGTTGATCTTCCAGATCAGTTGTCAGCCGCAAGTCAGCGGGAGAGGTTGATAACAATTCAGTCAGCTGTAGTCTACTCCATCCAAATCTGTCAGCCTGGACTGATAACCACCGAAGGGTTGTAGGGATAGTCTCGCTGATACCGGTGAGTCGGCACCGGATGCCTGCTAGTGCTGGGATATAGATTCGTTCTCCTCAGCTCAGCTGAATCGGCTGAGCTCGGAAGTTCCTCACTTATTATAGAAATTTACATACGAATTCGTTTAGAAGTGTACGGAAATCCATACGAGTCTCCCAAAATTCTCTCAAGGTTTTCATATTGTCATCAAGACATGTAGTTGTCCGTGTGCATATTCTCTCACACTAGTCTGCCCGAAGGAGCTTGTCGAAAGCTCTCCTTAGGCGCGCCGCGTGAATCCGGCTGTTGGATGGACTTTACTCGAAAAAGCGATGAAAGCACAGGGTATGACTCGAGATGGGCCACATGGGAAGATCGTCGTTTTTGCAGCTTCTCTCAGCATCAATGCTGGGGCATGTTTCAGCATCGGACTCAGTAGAGCTGGCGACTCTGAAGGTGAGCAATGACACCGGCTGCAGCTGCTGCAGTCTTCCATCAGAACCTCCCTTCCCTCGGGGATGCATGGACCTCCTCAGTAACGTCCCTGCTAAAGCTGGAGGACCTCAAGCTGGGCGAGAGTATCGCTATCTGCACGTTGGTACGTACTTGGCTAGCATAGACATTATGGTTCTGGGCTAGGTATCGACTGTGACTTTGTACAGGAGAACTTGGAGGAAGAGGAAACTGCGGCGCTCTTGGACGAACGTAATGGATCACTGAGTAGCTGACCGAGTTCACCGAGATGCTCCTCAGTTGTGAACCTCCGTCACACTCTGGACCATATCGTCAGAGCTGGTCTTATCGAGATCACTACAGCGAGTCGTGTTGGAGCTAGAGAAATAGTTGATAAAATTCGAGAAGTTCAAGTGGTAAATGCATGATCGGAAGGAATTATTTTCGTTCAGCTGTCGGTGTTGAGTAATTGGGACATGCCTGCTAGTTCCCATAGGGCATGGCATGGTTTGAATCTCACGCTTTGAAGCTCTGAAACGTCGAGAGCTTATGAAGCGCATCTGACGGGCACGCTTTTCTCTTCCGTGTGTGGTATCAGAGGTAGACTGTATGATAGTTTGATGAAGTCTATATGTGTTATGGTATTATATGAATGCAGTATGGTGTAGAGAAGTGTCCCCAGTTTGGAAGCCGTATCTGAGCTCCGTTGAGCAGTACATCATAGTGATGATGTACACAGCTCATAGTACGCCATGATTAATCTGAGTAAATTTCTTTGTCTGTGAGTGATTACATTGTAGTGGGAGTGTTTACGAGTAGTTGATTAATTTGTGTGCTACAAATTTAGTTCGTAGAAAAGTTCGAAAAAAGTTAGTACTACAAAAAGGTTCGTGCTAAACTCGAACTACCACTGGTAAACTCGCAACATTAATAGAGCACTAAATCACAGTAGTTTACACAGAGTATTTGAACTCTGTCACTTATGAATCGTAATCGTGTGTCGTTCCGGAAATACGGGCGTGCGCTACAAAAGTTGCCTTTTGATGACCGTAAGATCGATCCCCGGTCACGGCATTTCTCCATTTCGAGTTCAAGAAGTATCTATTTCTCTCACAGTTATCCTCTTTTGTCTTCGATTACTGTATTCAAACCACAACGCTGTGAATGATGTACATCTCAACTAAGTCTGTATTTATTACAGTAGCCATGTGGCTGCTACTCATGGTGGGCTACGGACGAGTCGATGCGGTGAGTCCCTTTATGAACAAAAAGGGGGTGTTCGATAGACCTTTCCTGAATTTGACGACTTCGATCCGATCCTGAGACTGTTCTTGAAACTCAGGAGAGATCTATCGAACAGGCGTAATGAATTGTCATATTCGTGGAGAATTTCCTATTGTATGTGTTAGCCTATAATGGAACGCCAAAAACGGAAGCCACAGAGATTTTCGCTTTTACACTGGACGAAAATCTGTTATGAGTCATAGCATGATTCCCTCGTGTTTCGAATAGTTGTATGGTATTGGAAAGAGAACACATCTGGTCCACAGCAGATTTTCATAGAAGTCTTCACTATAATCAGATTTCCGTGAGGGTCCCGAAATAGACAATTTCCTCGTTCCATTTTCGTAGAGTTTCGATGAATATAATTTTCTCGTATAGTAACTCCTATAGAGTTTCACCCTAGTGATATGAAAAACACTAGTGAAAAAGATAGCGCAAATTTCGGGTTTTTCACCAGGTTTTACGCCACTTCACGTAAAACGGGTTGTGAAACTCCATAGTAACTCCTTCACCGATAGAGTTCTGCTCAGGCGGAAGACTCAGCTGGAGGAGCACCAGTGAATGACAAGTCGGGCGAGCTCGATGGTGGTATTCTCGTATACAATGACTTAGCTCATCGTGATGTCCTCTGCCGTTATATACAGAGTAATAGAGGCTCCTGGCGTGGTGGACTTCGATTGAGTTGTTTTGGACAGTTCCAGCGGAGGCGAGGCGAATTCGTGCAACTGCGGCTGTGATCGGTCTCACTGGAAATCCGAATTTATTTTCGGGCTTTGATGAACAGAAGTTACGCGATAGAATTTACAAGGAAGCGGCACCGACGAACCAGGGAGGATACCATATGATACACGACACGTGAGGAATAATTTTGTGGCGCGTGACGATTTATTGGTGTTCTTATTGGGTTTAGATACTTCGTTCCTAAGTCATCGGATGGGCGCTTTTATCTTTGTGTGACAACCTTTGCTACACAGGGGACTGATTTTGTAAGGGATAGAAGATGACCTTGCCGGGGATCGAACCGGAGTCCTATGGGTGTTCGTACCAGGTGCTCACCGGAGTGGTCTCGAACGCTGCTGAGTTCGGTGTGGAACCAGTGATGCCGTTGCTTATGGAGTACCCTACAGTTCAGAGTGTCGAAGCATTTGGCCGACATCGGGAAGATAGGGTAATGAAGGAAAGCTGTGGCGCATAGTATTTTCCATGGGAATTGGTTTCCGCACATAAACCAAGGCTCGGGCGCTCATCTGGCAGCTGCTGAGTTCGCAGTCATACTTTTATATGCACGTAGTCAACTACATGTGTAGGTGAAAT